CAGTCGTTGCTCTACGAGATATGCACGTTAACCTGCCTTGTTTATGGGATAACCGGCCTTACACATTATACCGAATAAGCGTTTCAGATAATATTACAGTTGTCTTTCTACTGACTTGCTATTATTTGTTATAGGGGCATCCGGTTTGGGATTCAGTTTAACGAGCAAGGATCAACATCAAAAAAAGTCTAATTGCCCAGTTTTTATTAAAAACATCCTTCCAGGTGGAGCTGCTCTGATGGATGGAAATCTAAAACCCGGAGACAGAATTCTCATGGTACGTTTTCCTAGCTCTTATTTTCGAATCTGGACGAAGAGATTAAATTAGCGTCTATCTCTATTTAAGTATTGGTTAAGGTGGAAACCAATTTTGGTCACATTAAAATTTGATTTTTTTCGTTGAATATTGGAATTTAGGGCCAATATGCTAATTATTCCAAGTATTATTGTAGGTTTTTTTACTGCAGCGTAACTATAAAAGTAGTCAATATACAACCAACTTTATGCAGTACCTTTGAATCGGTTAGTGAAATAAGAAATCAGGAAAATGGGCAGAAAATTTTTATTCCTTCTAACCTATAATAGCTTTACAAGACAGTATGCCATTCTAGGAATTGTGAATTTGGTTAAGGCAAGCTAATCTGCTAATTAGTAAACCACTAGAGTGCTGAAATGCAATTGTCTTCGCAATATTACCTTGGATTAAGATAATAACTTCAATATTGTAATCGAAATGTGTTAATTGAAGGTTATTTTTCATTCAAATTTGGTTATGTGACGTATGTAACTCTATTCATACTTCTCAGAATTGATAAGTTGCGATCGCTAAAGCTCCATTTTTTGAAACTATCAATCATGCTTGTTAGTCATCGTCTAAAAAGAACTGAGGTTGAATACGGGTTTCCATTAAGGTGCTGTTTCATTAATTTAGATGTGTATTTAGTTATATCAAATGCCAAGAATTTTGATAGTTTTCATTAGCCCTTTAGTTAACTTCAGGCTTCAAAGAGAGTAAGGAACATCGAAGTTAAAAAGTCGAGAGGGGGTGGATGGAAGAGTGCTTCAAAGATGTAAAAGAAATAGACGCAAGGGTAGAACAAAGGTGAGATGTGTACTGTGGAAGTAGTCGTATATAACATACAGTGGGGTGATGGCAGTTTGAAGTGAGAAGTCGACTCCCGGTTAACAGACTTTTTGCCGTATGAGTATACTTTGTCCATGGTGCACCACGTGGAGTTAAGTCTATCGCGCACCCCGTTCAGATGAGTATTGGAAAGTATCTAATTGGATTATATTGTTATGATATCTTTTTATTCGTTCATCATCGGCGCCAATACTTGCATTTAATATTTTCACATAGAAAATCGTGGTCTTTCATTAGTTTAGCCTCATAAATAACTCTAGTCCAGTTTCACACTCTCGTATGAACTGCGCCTTCATTTATTGCGTCTCAAGATTTTAATCATTTAAAATTATGGCTTTTTGGTCATCATCACGTAAAGCCACACGCTTGTGTGGGACTAGGCATTTCGTTGATAGTGATTGGTCGCTGGATTCCACCAATGAGATAGCACTTCCTCTTACTATTCTTGTGCAATAGCTTTCTTGCTATTCTGGGTGGTCTAAAATATGGTTGTAGGCCAGTTAGCTCTATTGTGAATGTTTATCTTAAAGCAAAATTAATAAAGCGTGACTTAGAGTTACTATTTAATTTAGTTTATTTAATAAAAATATCGTGGCGTGTATTTCTAGGTGAATAATCTATTGAAGATTTTACTGAAGATACTTACTTCGGAATGTATAATTTAGGGGCAAAATGTATTTATATCAATTGGCAGGCGTTTTTATAATTATCATTAGGCCTTTAGTTGACATCAGGCTTCACAGAGAGGAAGGAACATCAAAGTGAAAATAGCCTAGAAGGGGGGGGGGATAGAAGATTGATTCACAGATGTAAAAGAGACAGACACAAGGGTAGAAAAAAGGTGGAAGTGACAAAGGTAGAAAAAAGGTGAGGTGAGTACTGTGAAAGTAAGGGAATATGAAATGCAACAAAGGTAGATGAAAGGTGAGGTGAGTACTGTGAAAGTAGCTAAGGTAGAAAAAAGGCGAGGTGAGTACTGTGGAAGTGGTGAAATATGACATACAGTGGGGTGATGGTAGTTTGAAGTCAGAGGTATATGACATACAGTGGGGTGATGGTAGTTTGAAGTGAGAAATAGGTAGAAAAAAGGTGAGGTTAGTACTGTGGAAGAAGTCGACAGTAGAGCAAAGGTGAGGTGAGTACTGTGGAAGGGGTCGAATTTGACATACAGTGGGGTGATGGTAGTTTGAAGTGAGAAGTCGAAGAGAAAAGGTAAGATGAGTACTGTTGAAGTGGTCGAATTTAAGAAAAAAGGTGAGGTGAGTACTGTGAAATGGTCGAATATGGACAAAGGTGAGGTGAGTACTGTAAAAATAGTCGAATATGATATAGAGTGGGGTGATGGTAGTTTGAAGTCAGAAGTCAACTGCCGATCAATAGACTTTTTGCAAGTCAGAAGTCAACTGCCGATCAATAGACTTTTTTGTCTTTGAAGTCAGAAGTCAACTACCGTACAGTGGGGTCATGGTAGTTTGAAGTCAGAAGTCAACTGGCATAGTCGAATATGACATACAGTGGGGTCAGAAGTCACTGCCATACAATGGGGTGATGGTAGTTTGAAGTCAGAAGTCAATAGCCATATTAATAGACTTTTTGCCGTATGAGTATACGTTGCCCAGGGCGTAGGTAATAGACTTTTTTGCCATATGAGTATACGTTGCCCAGGGCGCACAAATAGATTTTGCCGTATGAGTATACGTTACCCAGGGATAGACTTTTTTGCCGTATGAGAATACGTTGCCCAGGGTGTACCACGTGGAGGTAAGTCTATTGTTTAAGTTATTAGAATTAATTCAAACTTATTGTATGAAACGAATATTTTTAACCATTGAAAGCTAATATTCCGTGGAGAGAATGGTAACATTTTAATGCTAAGGTATGATTTTGGTTTAGTCAATTCTATTACTCTTGGCAAAATTTCTAAGCTATAAAGGGGTAAAAACAAGGAGGAAGTGAAGGTTGATCAGTAAATATTTCCTATTTATATCCTTAAAGATTAATTAACTTCAATATTTGTAGATTTTCGATTAAGAATATTGAAATTATATATTTTTATTCTAAGGTGGCCACTGACGGATATTCTGTTATTTGTTTCCGCATTCTTTTCAGGTTGATGATAAGAATGTATCCGAATTAGGCCAGGCAGCAACCGTCGCTTTACTAAGGGAAAAGCCAATTGGATGCATGGTGACACTTGTTGTCATTCCAGCAATCCACAGGGAACAGAGCAATCCGCCAACATCTTCCGACAATGGAGACACCCAGAGAGAAAAATCTGAACCGTCTCAATGTGTGAGCGAATCTCAACTTAATGAATTCACTATCTTCTACCCAAGCTGTCCTCTATTAGATTATTTTACCAGCATTACTTTAATTTGGTTTGATATTTAAAATTATCTAACCTCTGAGACGAGTAAAATATTACTTCATTTTTTCATGCATGGGATACTTGAAATAAGTGAAAATTATATTCTTTTATTTAATGTAACTGTTCAAGTAACTTCGATGGTTCTACAACTGAATGGTCTTGGTAATTGCGAGTTCTACGCGCATTCTAATTATCTGATTGGCTACTCTTGTTTAAAACATATTTTTCTGCGCTTTCTTAAAAAGTGTCTCGTTGAAAGGTCTGCAATGCGGTCATTAGCAGTTATTGAATCACTCTATCCAACTTCAAATTACCCCTTAGTTACGGCTCTGATAATTTGAAGTACTGCAACCCAGTATAACGTCTTTCCAAAGACCCACGTGAAGCACATTTTGGGCATATATTGCATCAGAGTTGATTGTGTAGTGTTATAAGTATGAGAGGAGAAAAACTAAGCACATTATCCTACTCTGGGGCTGGGATCAGTTCATTATAGGAGTTTATTTCATGCAGAACGAAAGCGCTTTCCCACCTGCACTTGTTTAATTGACATAGTTAATTGGTATTAATAGAACGGGCATAGTGATATAGGATTGTGCAATGGAATTTTTCATAGCGATTAGTCATTCAATGTATTCGAAAGTTTTTATACTGAATCGATGAACATATTGCTCAATTGGTTTGGTATGTGGTATAAGATTACTTCAAGTGACTGATAACTTTGTATAATTTTAGGAAACAACCAAGACTGAAGATGATTCACTAAAATACTTCGCCATAGACCCAGCCTTAGTCAAGCTTCATACATTGGAGATTCCGGTTTCTGGATCCTCGTCAACTGAATTAAAAGATCGTTCTGACTTAAAGGTCAAAAACCGATCATTTTCTATACCCACTTCCCTTCTAGCCTCAGCTTTCACTCTTGGCGTGAGCATTCGTGTTCGACCTCTTAGTAGTGATGATTGCTCAGAAACTATCCTCGAAGAAGCCGTTAAGAAAGTTGCTGCTACGACCATTGCCAATGAAATTTCTGGGACTTCCAGGGATGATTTTAGTAGAAATGGGGTCTTTGTTCGAACTGTTATTCCAGGAGGCGCTGCTCACAAGGTAAAAATCTTTATTTAGCACCTAAATTTTGGTATTGATCAAGGTCAAATGTAATTACAAAACTATTTCTAGAATAACCATAACTGTCTTTATATGAATGTTTCTCTGTGTTAAAGTAAAATCCCAAGTGTAAAATACAGAAGTTTATTCTCTTGCGCAAATTATTCAGTGCTTTGGGATAGCACCACATTTACGCGTTCATTTTGCGGAGGAATCGCATGATATTGACACCTTTTGGGAAGGAAAACTGAGCTTA